GTATGTGTGATGGAACAGAAAGAGACTTGGCTATGGAAGTAAGATCGCGAAAAAGAAGGAGAAAATAACATGCCCAGAAGGTCGACTACTTACCAGCACAAATCAGGGACAAACGTAGAAGCAAGACCGTACCTCTCCTTGTTTCTCTCCCTTGTCCTCACCTTCCTCCCGTCTCGGTCGCTCGTTGATTCCCTCCCTCTCTCCGGTAACTGTCGTCGGTGAAATTACCCCAGAGGGAGTGCGTGACGGCCCTTTTAGTCGACCTCCAGCAACTCAAACGTTGAAACGGACGGAAGAGAAAGAAACGGACGTAAACTAGGGGTTTTAAATTCATGGGCTTTTGATTGAAAATTTCAAACTTGATCCCTACACTTTGGTAGTTATTTCAATAATAACTCTAACCACATTTACATATTAAATATCATTTCCCTTTTTTTTTATTTTTTTTTTTATTTTTATACTCGTTTAAATAGATTTACATATAAAATAAACTCTTTTTTAACAATTTGAGTTTTAACTAAATCTTAACATACTACTTACATACCTTTTATACATATTAACTATTAAATTAAATCTTATAAGTTATCTTAATCCCTATTAAATTCTTTAAATCTTAATTAATATCTTTTTGTTATTTTTTTTATATATAAAGTGATCTAACCTCACACCCTAGACGCATGTACGACCTAATTCTATGTAACAAAAACTAACTTCACTAACGTAGAGAAATTTGATCGTTACATAAAATTTTAGGATTTTTATGGAGATTTACCAAAAAATAACAACAATAACATCCATAGATCTCATACCTTTTTATTCAATGATTGAAATATATATTTAACCACATTAATGTAATAGAATTTTCTTTACTGATTTAAATTTATGTTTTAATATTTTAACTTTTCAAACTTCAAATTAATAACTACAACTAATGAGGTTTTTCGTTCATGGTACTTAATTGATACTTATAAAATTTAATTAAATATAATCAAAATATTTAAATTATGTTTAGTAAATGAAACTGATATTTATGAGATTTAATTAAACATGATTAAAATATTTAAATTTAGTTTTGTACTAACACATAATACTTTTTAAAAATATATACAAATGTGTAGTAGTTTCAAACATAATTACAAAAACATGGTATTTTGGTATTCATCACTTGCTTACCAATTTAAATTAAATAGAATATATATAAATAAATCTCATTGTGAATTTTTATATTTTATTATTTTTACTTACGATCTAAACTATTTTTACAATAAAAAATAAGCTATAGATAATAACTATCTACCATAACTTTTGTAGTATGAATTTATATTATAAAATTAAAATTAAAAGGAATGATCATATCTTTATCAAAGTTTTTTCTTAGTAGTTCTTAATTAAGAGCATAATTGCTTGAGTGATTAATAAAATGATTTAAAGTTGTTCAAAACAATTTTAAGCTAAATTATCAAGTAATAAATATTGCGATGTTATTTTTTCTTAACCATTTTATACTAACTATTGTTTAATTCTTGACAAAACATTTATTTTAACTTGTATGAATAAAAAAGTAATCACAAAAGCAACAAAACTAGAAACAGCAACAAATGTCATAACTATAAATATAACTTACATAAATCTTATATATTCAAACATCAAAATAAAAAATAAATAAATAAATAAACCTACTCGATCAACCACAATTACACATCAGCAGGCCGATATGGCATTGTTGCCTATTAATCGATATCGCGATATGAATTTAGTTGATTAGGTCATTGAATTATATATACCATATTGAACCTCCATAGTTTTACCTGGAGACTTTTTGTAGGTTATATGTTCTTCCTCATCACAAATTTTACCATCACAATAACACAACAATGTAATAAATTTTGATGGCATATTGATGACAATGTACAACAAAACATAAACAAAAATTCATATAATATAACCTATAAACTTATATAAAAAAATCACTTTATGTTGATGCAATATTGATGACGATCTATAAACAACAAAACATAAACACTTCATGATTTTTTGTATTGGCTATAAAACCTATAAACATATACAAAAAAAAAATCATTGTATCTTAGCATAAGATTAAATTAATATATAAAACATATAATGGAATTGAAACCAACGAAAGAAGTTGCGTCGGTTACGGTGAATCATACTCAAATTAATTTCTATACTAACAATTGTTCACTAAAAAAACTAATACATAATCTTTCCAACTAAAACTCATTAACGCAAGACAACTTAAACAAAGAAGCCAAAAAAAATACTTACCGACGACTTCATGAAAAAGGCAATTATAAGAAATTTTGGAAATGGAAAAGGGGTTGTACGGTATTACGATGAAGGCAGGGTGACTCGTTGTCACCGGTGGTTCTCATATGGCAGGGTACGGACGACGGACACGTGAGAGAATGTGTGAATATTGATCGCGTGAAGTTAATGAATAAAAAATAGGGTTTATTATTATTTATTTTCAACTACAATTACTTGGTGAATAAGTTTTAAACTACCCCTATCTAGTAAATATTTTTTCCAACTATTATGTTTTTGTAAAAAACTATATTTAAATTAAGTTTAGTAAGTTAAATGAATAATATAATCATCTAACACCCGGACAAAGTAATATATCGAAATCTTTCAAACAAATTATTAAAAACTAAATTAAATGTATCTATTATTTTGTGAGTAAATACGAGAGTGTATGTTACAAGCTTATGACCCTATAATTTTACAAATAATAATTGTCATATGTTTACAATTAGTAGTTAATAACTTTCAACCCTAATATGCAATCAATAAAATTAATAACATTTATGTGTATTAAAGTATAATCATACAATCATCAAAATATAAATTCTTCCAAAAACCTTTTTGTAATAAAAAAATTGAAAGTTGAACGCTATGATGTGGAAAAACATCAAATCACAAATCTTAAAATATAAGAGTTAAAAGACTTATGTCATTAAGATAAAAGTCAGAATAGTGACAAAAAAATTAACAATAACATTCACAGAATCACCATTCTTTTTCATTCAATATCCACACAAAAATGAGCCATAAAACAAATAAATTGGGATATTTATATTTTCATTAATATAAATAAAACCTATCAAAGTCCAATTTGTGATTTCATTTTTTTCTTTCAAAAACACACTTCAAACACACTAACATTTGTAGTGTTTGCATGTATGAACTCATCAAAACACAAATTTTGTTTAAACACATTTCAAAGACATCAAAATTCACAACACTTTTATGCTAGCTCTAAATACCGTAAAAATTCTTCATTATCAAAATTCACAACACTTTCAACATATAACACATAAAAATTGACAAATTAAACTTTTATTTTGGCTCTAAATGTACAACATTGAGAATATTATTCATCATCTTTAAATACCAAAAACTTTTGGATTTACTCCGGTGCACAACAAAATTCTTATGGAATATTAAGAAACTATAAGGAAGAAAAGATATGGAAAGATGAAAGCAAACTTATTTGAAACTTCTCCATTAGCATCCACTCTGAATAACAAAAATGAAAAAGAGAAGATAAAACAAAATGAAAAGAGAAGAGAAGCAAGTATTTCTTATATATGTCAAATATTTCGATTAAATAATCATTTAAGTAACATAAGATGAAGAATGAAGAATTTCAAATGAATATAGTTCAAGATAGATCATTTATCTTGAATCACTTTATAAGCGATAGATAGATTTTTAGAAGCTTCCACCTTACAGTTGGCCTCAAAATTAATATTTTTAAAAAATAAAGTGTTTGAAATCGATTTCACATATAAGGAAATTTTTGAATGTCTGGACGGGTGAATTATGTCAATGACACCCTTCCATGTTACTTACCTTGGATCCCCTATTGAAACAAATATGAATAGAATTTCCAATTGCCCTCCCTTATTGAAAAATTCCAAAGCAAGTTCTCGAGATGGAACTCTATAGGAACTTATCTTACAGAGGATGTCTAGTCCATTGCAATGTTGTTCTTGGAAGCCTTGGTTCGATCATGTTATCTTTTTATAGAGCCTAGTCTATGCTCAGTAAAAGACTTGAAAACGTTAGGAACAATTTCTTTCAAAGAGGGAACTCAGAAAGTAAAACCATTGTGAGTAAAACTCCAAACTCAAAAACATCAAAAGTAAAAAAAATTTAAAAAAAATTAAAAAAAAATGGCCATCTTTGTGGCTGCTTCCCATTGGCCATGATTACATGAAAATGGGCCATTATTGATTTAGGAGAGTTGGTGCACATGTAAATCCCATCCAGAATTGTTTTCTTTTGATCTATATATCTCTAGCTTCTCACTAGCCTATTTTTAATAGAATTCTCTTCTTGTTAAAAATAATGCCGGAAACAAAACATATATCGGATATCGAACTATTTTGAAGTTATTTCACCAAAAAACTGACAATGCATGCATGGTTAAAAACCATTTCGAAAACTAACATCATATAGGAGGCTCATATGACTAGCATATATATGAACTATTAGGAAGCCTCAATGCACAATAATTTTATAGAGTTAAATAGATTGCTACATCATTTTATAGTTCATACAAGTCTATTAATTTTTTTCTAAAATGCATTGAACTTTACAAAGTTCAATAAAATATTACAAAAACCAATTTATAATATATATATTTAAGAATTAGAAAACTTTTATTTTTCCAATTGAACTTCAAATCTATTTAATGTCAAGGTATTATCTCCCAATGATAAAGTTTCATCAATTGAATGACAAATAGATTTGTCACCATAACGATTTTTTTGCCACTTTGCAAGTTTTAGTGAATCATATATAGATATTGATGCATAATGACTGATAAAAGAACAAACAAAAGAGATAAAATTATCCCATAAAATTGATACTTAGAACAAACAAAAGAGAAATAAAATTATCCCATAAAATGGATACTTAGAGAGTTCGAAAGACAAAATACAAATAAACTCTAAAATAACATAGAATTACTCCCTTGCAAAGCACACCAGTCACTCCATAGCTTTAAAACCTTCTTGAGTTACTCCCATCAATCTCCAAGTGTCGTGAACTAGAAGCCTGATCAGATGAAGAGTCATGATTTTAGAATATCTTAATACGATTTAGCTTCCAGTATTATATATGGCAGATAATTGTCAAAAAATTTCACCATGTCATACTTCAAATTTCATTATTGGAACAATAAAGTTCATATGACCATATGTTCACTTTTGGTTTTTCTAAAATAAACACAAAAGAGAACGCTTTGAATTAAATTGAAATGTCTAGCTACTATAAGCCACATGTTCTGGCTTGTAGTAGCACAAATGCCAGTCAAAGATTTATGCCTTATAAAGTTAGAGATAATATTTCCAAATGAGAAATCAAATATCCTCTTATATTTTCTTCCTACTAATCCTCCTACTCACTAGATCAAATACATGAATGTAAAAATAATATTCAATTCTTACATGTTATTGCGTTAAAGGCATGTTACTTTTCATGGAGTCTAGATCTGAGGAGGCAAGAGTTTAAATTACCATTTAAAATATTAGAGAAATTAGATCCATCTTGAGGATCTTGTCTTCATAATTTTCTTTAGTGATTTATAGCCAAATCAACTTCTATATAAAAACCAACTTTTAGTTTTTGGTAATTCGTGTTCTTAATTAAGTATAAATAATATATAGTCACGTGTTGTGCATTTGTGTATTTAAGCTAGCATAGAGAAAGATTATCCTTTTGAAAACCACAGGAGATCAAATATTATTCACAATTATATAAGAGAAGATATAGTTAATCGATCATATCTTAAGATTTCTTTTTGGAACAGCAGTCAATGTATTAAAGCTCTTAGCAAAAGACTAAGAGATAGACAAAATAAAAATATTTACAGGTATATAGAGTTAATAGCAATTTTTAGATCTTTATATTAATCTGCTCGATTTCCACCTATAAAAATGACTTAAAAACTAGTTACACAAACAAACTATAAATCAGTTTTCAATACTAAAACAAACTCTTTGTGGTATAAGAAAAAAAAACGATGTCAAAATAGCTAAATTCAGGGAACTTTGTAAATGAAAAAATGAAAAGAAAGTAACCTGATTCGACGACTGAAATGGCCATATTCCATGAGAAGTCATGGATAATCCAAGCCCAGAACCTTTATCTTCAACTGAGTCCCCAGCTATCCCCATAGAACCAGAGATTGGGACAATTGGCATTGAGTTTGCAGCCTCCACCAGATGCCTTTTCGACTGCTCTTCAATGTTCTTTTTCAGCGCCTCCATTGCTACTTTCAACTGCTCAAGTTCTGGTAATCTCAGGTTCTCAATTGGAGCTTCCCACCAGTGATTATCTTGGCCTGCTTTCCTGATCTCGCTAAGGTGTTCACTTTTGTTCTTCTCAAACTCAGATTGACTAATTACATAAGTAAGCTGCCTATTGAGTTCGTTAATTTTTGCATTACGATGAGCATCCATAAGTTGAGATGTGCTAGAACTTGGTGGAAGGTTTTGTGAGAGGAAGCGATCAACAATCATCTCAACAGATGGATGGCCGAAGGAGAACACCTTTTTACCTGGAGAAAAGACGATGATTGTGATTTCAACCCCACACAAGATGCTTAGTTCGCTTGCTTTCTTGAAAAGGCCAGCACGACGTTTGGAGAAGGTAACCAATAAGTTACTTTCTTTCGCCATTCTTGTCATCTGAATCTTTTGGCGACCTTTGGTCTTTCGGGGCATCATTGCAAAGGACTTGAGAGGACTTCTCCACGTAGAACTGTAGGACAAGTAAGGCAGGCTGGGTTTTTCTTTCCTTGATCTCTTTGAAAAACCTTGAAGGATATATTTAAAGGGCTCATCTTGCGACATGTGCTGGATCCACATATGATACCACTAAATGTATTCCCATGTATGCATTTGATATTTCAAATGCAGATTTAATTCCATATAGCTCGCGTTTAGATGGTTTTCCAAATTGAAGAATAAATTTGATTTTTTATTGGTCAGTGTTGTAGAACTTTTTTCCAGACTTCTCTTTGAAATGAATTGCTTTGACCATATAATGAAATTTATTAATTGCAAATATGGTTCATGAACCAGTTCGAAATACAGTCAAGATCTTCCAAATATGTAATGTACAGCACTAACAAACCAATAAATAAAATTTACTTTTATCCCCGACATAATATAAGGCAATTACATTGAAATTGTAGGGACACGATCCAGAAATTTTCTGCCAATAATGACTAATCGAGAAATTTGAAAAGTTAGGATGTGTCATGATCCCAAAATTCACTACCAATAAAGACTAATGGAGAACTAACTAGGGTGGCATCAAAACCGAAAACCCAAACCAATACTTAAAATGATGGTGCGATAAAACGACAATGATGGTGCGGTTTTTAATTTTCATAAACCGAATGCAAACGGTTTGTTTTCGGTTTTATTGTAGAACCGCCCCATGAATGATTCAAGTCGAACCACTTTTAAAAATTCAAAATATCATATGTATTGCATAATAGATAATTATATATGCATATTGATTTTAGAAAAGCTTATGAACAGTAACATGGAGCCAGCCGGTTACTATTCATCGGCTGGTCAAAGATGGTTGTGGCTGGATATTTGTGGTTCCTTTTGGTTGGTCAACTAATGCTCAGTGTCATTGGTTTCCTCTAGCAATAATGCTACATGTTCTTTTCCGATTGCGACCATATTCTCCACCGCTATAGATATTGGCCCTCATCTTTCTAATTCCCCATTCATCTATAGTATTTTCTATGTTCAATGCCGGAGAGCCCCAGTCGCTCATCGGTGTCATTGCCTTTGACGACGGCCTCCCCTATTTCTCCGTCTTCAAATGTTGATTGCTTCCTATGGCTTACCTCTTTGTTATCCTGAAGGCACTGCCTTTGAATCGTCTCTTTCTACTCGAAAACTCTTTCTCACATATGCTCCTTTAACCTCTAAATCATAAAAGATCGGAGATTGATTGTACTCTATTTTTTTATCGATGAAGGAATGCTGAAAATCACGACCGAGTTTTTGTTCCCCCTTCATATCCTGATTCTTATTCTACCTATAATGTGTGTTTTCCTTATACATACTTACCCTAGACTTCAAAACATGATTAAACAATATTCAAAATAAATGCATAAAATTATACAAGTTAACATTTTAATGTAAAAGATTATAGAATATATATATATATATATATATATATATATATATATATATATATATATATATATATATATATATATATATATATATAAGTGGCTAAAAAACATAACAATTGCCTGTATAAATGCAGAAAATTACACATAAATGCAGAAAATGACATAAAAAATCTATTTGTTGTAGAGAGTTACAAAAAATAAACTTTACATGCATAAAAAGACACAAAAAAATTACCCTTTATGCAAAAATTTTAATATATTTTTTGGTTTTATATTTCTTGACTTAAAGGTACAATCAATGTTCTAAATAACGTAAGACTTGATTTGGCAGCAATATCAAGCTTCAAGCTTTTCTGAGTCTTGACGGACCATGTCGTTTGTAAGGCATGACATAAGGCGGCAATTTTGTATATAATTAATATTTTTATATGTATTTTCAACTATTATTCATTTGGATACGCATATATGAGTTAAGGTGGCGTTTTGGTAAAGTTTGGTGGCATGTACAAGCCTTGGAGCCATGGCATTGGATACAATGCTATTTTACGCACACGAATGGCACAAATCAAAGAAGATTCTTCCTTAAAACCCATTTTATTTATACCCCTAAAGAAATACTATGTTGATGCAAAATTCTAGGAAGACAGTAACCTGAATGATCCATCACTCAAAGATTGACTTGCTTTAACGCAAAAGTTGACTAGGTGAGTTGAAGGGTAAACCTAATGATAGTAGATATAAATTTAAAGGGCAATACCATCATTCTTCCATAGTTGTAGCAATAAAATATAAAAGTAAGGTGCTATAGTACAACATTTATTTCTACATGTGACTATTTATAACTATAACATGTATTGTGTATTTTTAGGGAAGAATAATCAATATACCATCAGTTATTTTTATTTTATAGCATGTGCTGTACTTTCAAGTTTTTAAGGCTTTGTTCTTAAAATAATTTAAGCTCTATAGGGATATTGGTCACTTAGGTGGATGTAGAAGTTAACAAAATTCAACAAAAGGGACAAAAGGACATAATTATCATTTTGTTTATAATGGAAACAAGTGCTATTTTTTTGATTTAGAACATTTTGTTGGTATCATTTTTTCATTTAGAAATGATTTAGTCGGTTACTAACAACATTATATCTCAGTGCATCATTCACATACTTAAGATGATTAGAAAAACCAATTCATAATATTATAAAAAGTGTTTGTTGTTATCATTTTTTCATTCAAAACTAACTCAGCCAAATACTAAGAGTATTCTATTTGTATTGCTATCATATTACTTATCTTAAGGTATTTTAACAACACTATTCAACAAAATGGACAGTAGATGCACTAAGTCCCTAATGTATGCCTAGAATCCGACCAACCTAAATGCAAGTGTAACATCCCAAAATTTAAGATCCAAAAATTTCATTTTTAACTAAGTTATTATAAAATCAATAGTATAAAAACATCCATAATGTCATCCCATATCAAAACCAATATGTCATAATCAAATCATTTCATAATGAAGCAATATCAAAGTATAATCTCAAAGATGTCATGTGCGGAAAATCTTGTGTGATGCGTTGCAGTCATGTCGATTCCTTTCCCTTTGAAGAGGAAGTACCTGAAACCAAAACTAAAACTGTAAACATAAAGCTTAGTAAGTTCCTCCATCATACCACATACCTTATAATACACATATTACCTAGCATATCTGGGTGTTGGCCTACCCCTTCGGTCTCTTTCAAGCAGTAACCAAGGATTATTTCACCCCTAGCACTACCACATAATACTCTAGCATATACATATATATATATATATATATATATATATATATATATATATATCACATACTGTGTAGCATATCTGGGTGTTGGTCTACCCCTTCGGTCTCTTTCAACCGACAATAAGGTCTATCCTACCCTTCATACCACTATCGTATAATAACATAACATACTAACACATAAACATAACAGATAGTGGCATACCAAACAATTATCATAAATATAATCATCTCTACTATAATCAAATACTAGCGGGTCGGTATTGGTGCCTTTGACCCACTCCTATTGGAAGGTAACTCACCTCAAATGTCGTGAAATAGTTGAACTGTCCTCGGCTCTGAAATTTGCCCCACTCAAACTCCTACACATAAATATCTCCTTTAGCAGCCTCTTTCATGCTCATAACCCTTTAAGGGTCAACTTTGGTCTAAGTCAAAGTCTGGGTCAATACCCTGGTCAAAGTCAACCTCTTGGTCAAAGTTAATGTTTCGAGTTGACCCATCAACTTGTCGAGTTCCATAAATCATAAAACTCAAAACATGCGATCCATTTTGTTGAGTTCTTTCACAAATCTTAGAGTTCCTACTATCCATGGCATCTGGACTTTCACATTCTACTCGTCGAGTCATCCTTAAACTCGTCAAGTTTTTCCCTTTACAAAATCGGGAAATTTCGACCCAACTCGTCGAGTTCCTATATGGACTCGACAAGTTCTTTAGTCTATTGAGCCATCTGAATAGATTAAGCTCATATCCTTCAGATCGAAGTTCCATACTTCATCTACATACTAAAATTGTCCTTTTAAGGGTAAAGTTTCCAACTTTACCCGTTAATAGCCTTCCTTAATGGATTTAGCTGAAACCCTAGTTCCTTAAGACCTAGATCTTGATCAAAAAGCCATACTACTACAAACCAAAGCATAAAAACTGAGATTTGGACCCTAGACACTATAAGAACACATAAAGTCCTTGACTTTCCATCCATGCATGGCCTTTTGGGGCTTAAAAGGCCAAAATGACACCTTAAAGCTTACATGGGGCCTCAATGGCCATAAAGTTTGCACCTTTATTCCATGAAGGACCTCCATGGTTCCAGATCTTATGATATACTCATTTGGGACATCCATTGCCCAAAGGTCATGCTTCTTGGACCAAAAACTCAATAAAAGTGAAGATGAAGAGATTTAAGCATACTATAGACAAGATAGAAGCTTTATACCTCTAATAAACCAGAAATGAAACTAGACTTCTAGATCTAGTCTTCTCCAACACTTCCTTGCTCCTTCTTCAAGTTTCTTCTTATTCATAACCACAAGAATGCACAAAAAAATGGATCAAAGCTCTCAAAAGTGTATTAGGGTTTCGTGGCTAGGGTTTAGGACGATGGAGGCTGCAAATGAGGCCATCCTTTGGAGGTTAAGGTGTTTAAATAGGGTGCTAAACCCTGCAAATTAGGGTTTCATTCTGGCAGCCCTACTTGTCGAGTTAAGTCCCTCAACTCATTGAGTAGACTTTAAGTTTCGCGTCCAAATTCCAATCCTACTCGAAGAGTTTGGGGCCTCCAACTCGTCGAGTTCCTCTACAAAAAATGAATAAATTGATTTAAAATACATACCAGGAACCGGGCGTTACAGCAAGCCAACATATTATTGAAGTGCACAATGAATTTTAGCTCTAAAGAACATTTGTAAAAGCGCTCACTTACCTAGAAACAATGATAACATAATATTGATAACAAGTTGTTAATATAGTTGTATGAATTGTTTTAGTGTCATTTCTAAAATCAAATTAACTTTAATAACTCTAAAGTTATGTAATTGAAGTTCACAATCAATTTTAGCTAAAAGAATTAAAATAAAAAATAAAAAATAAAAAATAAATAAATAAATAAATAAATAAATAAATAAAAACTCTACTTACCTCGAAAG